TGGTCCCGAATAAAAATGTTTAAGCAATTGTGCATTTCGCTCTCCAATGGGATGGTCAGATGCATTCTGAGGCACCAGAGATTTTATCAGACGTCCCAATGTATTATTAGCCAGTAACGCAATGGCAGGCATGTCAAGGATGATGGTGTTTGTTACATTTAAGAACCGTAGCCCCAGTCCAATAATGCCATGGGTGCGTTGTCAAAACAAACCAACGCCCAAAATTACTAAGTCAGCTTCGGCCGCCTGTCACGGTTACACCACCATGTTGAAACCTTCATAGTCCAGACCCTTTTATTCGCCGTTGTCTAGAAGATGTGGTTCGATGTAAGCTGCAAATTTTCTTGTCATAAGCGATATGTGATAAAGCTCCAGCAAATCGTTATTAGTTGGCCAAATAATCGCTCGGGTTACACATTCTGTGTTGAGACAGAGCAGGTAGCAACCAACTAGCCATGGTAAGCTGGAGTTCCAGTACGCGGGCGGCGTGCCGTGCCGCATCGACACTCCAACTAAGTTAAGTGAATGTCAGTGGTACTGTGCCATTGCCTCAAACCTTGTGCAGGGGATGGTCAATCTGGTACCCCGCATGGCGCGCTCAAGCACTTGACTCGCCGTTTATCGTAGCGACCGAGCACAAATACCAGGCAAGGAGGGGACTGCTAGGCATATAACGTGAGCAGCTCCGTGGCAAACAACAGTCATCAGGTTGGCCGGGCGCTGGAAGTCCGTGCAAAAGGATGGAATGAAAGTAACTCCAACAATTTTGGATGGATTGATATCCTATCACACAAAAAAGCGCAACACCAGGGGGTGAGCGCCGTGGAATGATCGAAACAATCTATTGCTATGATGTGGCGAGGCGTTGAATCCGCGAGTCTCGGTGTCCAATGGAACTAAGGTTCGTGATATCGCCAACTGGACGAGAGCCGAAGAAATCCGATGTGATGAGTTGTGAGACTTAGTAACTAGGCAGTACTGTACTGGTATTTTCAAGGCTGACTTTTTTTTAGATCAGGGAGACATTCGGAACAGACGCCGGGACCCCAGTGACTGACCGATCGAGTCTACAGTTGCATACACGCTCTTTGACGAACATAACACACCCTTAGTTATCCATCAGCAACCCGGTAAGCCTTTCGATGTAAGTCACCTCCACACTACTACAACTTGCCTTACCACATGCTAGCGATTGAATGAGTATCTTACCTCAAAATCGCCGAGTTTTTACAATACTCCATGTTGTGTGTACATCCTTCTTTGCATCATATTAGAATGTGGCCTCATTCAAGACGAGTGTTACAGAAAGCCTTGCTTAATTGGCGACGATTTCGAAGCCAGAGGGGCTCAACACCATTACAAACAAGCAGGCAATATACGGGCCCATACATCCAAGCCAGGCATGCTCAGTAAAGAGCGAATGGTCATAGAGGCATCGCCGGATTCTTTCTGCACATTCTGGCATTGCCCAATCTCGGAGATGAACGAATCGGAAGAAACGCGACAGATTGGGGAGGTCTCTTTGCCTCTCGCTCTCGCCACGCCACGCCGCTCGCCATGATGGTACCCCTGTGAGGAAGCAACAAAAGCTCAAGCCTCACTGCCGTGTCTCAAAAAGAACTCTCAGCGTTACCACGTCACAACTCTATACTTGGAAAAAGGGGTCTTGAGCGAGTTGTTGCGGCCTGGATTCAGCTGTGGCGAGAGAAGAATATAAAGCGACCCGGTCCTCCCATGATACCCAATCTAAATTGAGCCATCATGTTCCACCCATCTGGATGAATCGCCTCGTCGCGCCTATCATGGATAAAGAGTCTCACATTTCAAGCCTCCGGTTGTAAGGAAGCGCCGAGAAAGACGAAGCCAAATGCAATCTATCGTGGGATAGTCGAACTCCCTGACAATTGAGCCCTGTGAGAGGGTTCGCATGGTTCGCCAATTTAGACGGCGTGGCAAGCCGAATGTAAGGCAACCAAAGGCTTCCAGCACATTGCGGGGCGAGGAGACCTAGGCCTGTTCTGGTATGTCAAAACTGGTTTTAAAAAGCAATGGATTGCCGAAAATGACTCGTTTTGGACTTATGGATTCTCACGATTCCGTTGATGGAGGCTTGTTATTGGTATTTTGTGGTGTGGCCCTGTGCTCGTCCTTCCCTCATCGCATCGCAGTCAACGACTCAGTAAGCAAAATAGTATCACAGAGATTTTCAGAAACTTACGAATAAACATAGAAAAGTCAACAGATAGTGCTCGATGACTGAATCGCAGATTTGACGCAATGGATGTGTAATCGACGGAGAGTCTATATTTCAGGTTATAATGCAGCAATTCCACATGCCATATATCATCACCTGCGTAATCCCATTGGTTGGTCGACTGCTCTAGCACAGCTTTCGCACTCCAGAAGAGATTCACCTGCTGCATCGCCAGAGTAATAAATAGTAGTTGTTCACGAATGATGATACCGAACAGCGAGAACCATGCTACTCGCTGAGACCTCGAAGATCCTGCTTGTTATCATAAATCTATCACCTTCTTTGAAGGTGTTAATCCCCACTGAAGCCATTATGATACTTTTGCCGAACTAACATCTGTTGACACGGGCGATGGCGTAAGTATGTATATACTTTCACTGTGCAAAAACAACACGATCTTGTTGTAAACTTATAAACAGGCGCGAAGTCATATCAATTTTTCAAAGCAGTATATTGAGGAAATAGGAATTATGCGATGGTCTCTCGTCAGATGCTGGTAAGGATACTTGCCATGGCTAATCAATGTAAACGGAACAATTTTCATGATCGAAGCCTGTACCGATTGCCCATGATTCGCTCGAAGGTCGGTAGAAACCCGGGGTTCCGCGCCTGAGATTCCAGGGCCCGGAACCACCTTCGAGCTTGCTTGCTTCCAGGGCCAGGTTTTGCCCCATATCGTAGCAGCAGCTTGACAGCAGGCAACGACAATGATCTCGTTGCGGCGAGATACGGCGTCACACCAAAATTACCGGCTTTGTTTGGATCAGCTCCGTTGTCAAGAAGCCACTTCATAATACTCAGCTTTGGACGCTCCGTTCCGAAAATGGGAAAGTATGTCGCCGCGATGAGAGGTGTTCGAAGGTCCCCATCGGGCATCATGTTGATGTCTGCCCCATACCTCAGTAGTTTTTCGAGGAATGGAATTTTGTCCCGGATGTCTGATTCAATGACCGCCGCCATGATGTCCCCCGACCGGTTTGGGTCAGCACCATCGAAGAGTAAGTCTTCAAGTATATCGAGATACAGGCTTGCGGTGGTCTCAGAACATCCTGCTGCTTGTTTAATGGTTAACCTGAGCAGGTCCCATGGGCAGTCGGGATACTTTGACGTAGCACCCTTGATCATCAACAGCTTTACGAGTCGAGTAGCGTTGGATGCCGGATTACATTTAATTGCCTCCATCAACGGAGGTTCGATGTCGATGTCAGGT